CGGTATTCTGATGTATATCAGTACGCCGATCGCTTCGCCGAGAGGGCCGTGACCGCCACCGCCGGAGGGAGTACCAACGCTGCTGCCGCTCTGGGCGTCTCCAACAATGTACCAGCCCCGAGGGTGGAGGACGTGGGCAAGGCTCTGGATTGGTGGGCAGCCAGAGCGGTACAAACAGACGCCGAAGTACACCGACTCGAGCTAGAGGGCCGACGGTACGGCNGTGCGCATCGGTACGTTTGGCCTCTGTTGACTTCAACAAAATATCACGTTATTCACATGAACATGACCACGTACCCGCCGACGAACAGCCTGAAGGAAGCCATCACCGAGCTCCACAAACCTCCGGCCACTTCATCTGCTTCCGCGTGTGTTCCGAAAGCAACGGAGAAAGTGACGAAGAAACCGGGTAGGATACTCATCACCGTGGACGTACAAGAGCTTGGCAACATCGAACTGGAGGTACGTTTGGGTAGTTGGTTCTGCTTCGACAGAGAAAGGGGTTCTCGCCATCGCAGAAGGCGTGATTGCACCCTTGGAACTAACGGTTCGATACCCGCCATCCTTAGGGTCTCGCCCCCTGGGTGAGGCGGCCACTTTACCCTTCCTTCCATCTACGTGATCCATTGTACGCGTGTGGCTACGCTGATGTCCTATCATGAAACTCAACTTGCCCGGTAGGACCTGCTTCCCTTCCTGTCTTGACTTTGCCGGTGTGCGAACGAAAAAACAACATTCAACGAAACAGGTGGAAGTACATGACCCGTGGGGCGACTTGGTCTCCTTCGTGCACGTACTACGGAATGGTCACACAGAGCACCACTGAGGACTGGAAAGGTACGATCCGCTCGTTAGTCTGGTAACCCTAACCCTAACCATGGGAGCCATCACGCCGTGGCACGGCCGTGAGTCAGGCGTAGGCTCGTTGGCTTCAAGCGATAAAGTGCACAATAATTGTTCGTGGTAGAATTGCATTGGTCGATGTGTCATTTACTGCACGCTGGCCGATGTGCGTGCAGCGTTTGTCTTTCTCAAATAAAAGAGCTAGAACAGCAGATCCACACATTCCCATCTTGTCTGTCCATCCTCGCTCCAAGCCGAACGCGTCATCGTTAACCCACGCCTTTCCGCATTCCTACGTATTTACCTACACCAGGAGTGTCTCTTCGGCTGTCGACAGCGGAGCCCACTGTCCACGGGACGCCACCTGCGCTGGAAGGCAAGACTGTTTCTCTCAAACCCTATCGGATGCCGGAGCCCAGTTTCAGCAAACCTCGTGGCGCCATGGTGAGGAGATGCAATGATTTCCGGGTGCGGCATTTTGTATTTGTTGCATGAAATAGTACCATGGTAGTGTGTCATGGCTCCCCCATCCTCGCGTCGAGCTAACTTGGCTTTGGTTCTGTGCGGAAGCAGAACGGGCCAGCGTTTCCACAGTTGCTGCGCTTGTTGGCATAGAGACCACGCGGTGATGAGCTACACGGGTTCTGCTTGGATTTGGCCTGAATCTGCACATCCGCCTGAATAGACTAATTGTCCCACATTTTCTCGCGAAGTAATGCCTAGCTTCGTAGGACATCGTCACGAGCTAGTTTGCCACATCTGGTATGCACTTTGGCAGATATATCCAGCAGACAGTTCACCCCCTGACCCCCCCCCGGGATCGTCGGATTTTTTTTACTTTCCCCTCATCACCTCGAAAATCTTTGAAAACTAGAAGGGAAGGAAGAAGAGCGGAGCGTACAGTCGGCGATCGAGCTTCGGGAGTGTCGGTGAATGCGAGGAGGACGGGGAGTCTTCAAGCCTAGATGACACCATGTCAGCGGCGCTGTGCGTGGAGGGCTACGGCGGCGGCGCTCCTGGCCATGGTGGAGGCGGCCCCGCTCCGTGTGCCCCACCACCGCCTCCAAAGGCGAAACCCGCCGTGGCACAGGTGGAGGGCGGGGGCGGCGGAATGGGTGCCGTTTCGTTCGTCGTGGAAACGCCGGCAGACATCAAGTGAGTACGCCAGGCCAGACTGAATCAGCCCACGTTCGAAGTCCACGAAATCACGGCTCTCTTCATGGGTTTGGAAGCGACACTACAACTGCTTCGGGCACAGTGAATGCAGCTGGTGGCGCCGCAGACTTTCCAGTACCGCGTGCCATACGCCAGCTCGACAACCGCTCCGATTCGTGGATACGAGCGAAGACTTCGTATTGCGTCCCCAAATCTGAAAAAATTTAAGTATTACCAACCAAAACAAAAACACACAACACCCCTTATCTATTGCCCCCGTCCAACTCAAGCCCCTCCCGGGAGCAAATTTTTCGTTCAGGTTACATCTACCGTTGACCATTGCATGTTTTGGTTCAACTCTTGTCCGCATGACGCTAGTGGACCACCTATCGCTGATGACGGAGCGTGGTTGCAGGAGCTCAACCCCCTTGTTCCTTTCTCTCCTTCCTCCTTCACGCCCTCCTCCTCCAGGAGCAACGCGCGGGCAAAGAAGCTCACCGTGGGAGTATTGCAGCTCTCCGCGGAAGTTTCCCACTACGTCGTACCTGCCAAAGAATCCGCCGCTTACCTGCAAGCTAAGGTACAGCGAGATTGCGTTTCGTTCTCTGGAGAGGCGGTGGGGGGTGGGCAGGGAGGGTAGTAGGGGAGAAGTTCATTCAGGAATATGTCTCCACACACAGGCATCAAGGAAGTGTTCCCTCGAAAGTCAAGGTGTCGATGTTGCTGCTTATTTTGCACGCCAACCAGGCGACGAACAACACCGACTATCTTCTCCTGGCGAGCAATGACGTGTCCATCTTCTTCGACAACAGCTTCATCACCAAGACCAGCCTCACCTCCGTCTGTCCCGGAGAGTCCTTCCAGACCTTCCTAGGCATCGATCCCGCCGTTAAGGTGCGTGCATGAAGGAACGGGGACACCCCATGTGTCATGCAATATTTTTCGTTCGTGTATTGCTCCGTGAAAACATGTTTGGCCATCGACTCTGGGCTCAAAGCCTACCTTCTTCGTGCGTCGACAAACGTGTTCCTTCCTCGACCCTCTAGAATACTACCTGTCCTAGCGCACGTTTCCCTGTTCTTCGACCCTGAAACGTATTGGTCTGAAATGCACCAGATCACTGTTGGGCCGCTTCGCAAGACCAGCAAGAAGCGCGGCATCTTCTCCAAGTCCAACCACGTCACGCACACCCACAGGTACCGAAGTTGTACACAGACGATCACCGAGATCGACGAGAAAAGTAGAACCATAAGCTTTGAGACACTCACAGCGGTGGCAGGTAGCACGGTACGGAGTAAAAAAAGGGTGTTACACCCGATACTGGTTGTCTTTTTCGCACCCTCACATTGCAGCGTTCACCCACGGGGATGATGATATTCGGTATTTATGCCTTCACGGCTGCAAAAGTACGGCGGTATTATAGCTGTTGCGGAATACCATCCGTAACCCTTAGCGACGGTCGACCGCGTCGGGGGATATGGCATCTTGTTGCGGGGAGGTTGGTGCTTCCATTTTGACGAAGTTCCACGTACCCCTTATCCGTACCTTGCGAGTTCACGAAACAAAATAAGAGATCCACTGATGTTACTGACACTGTAGAACGCTACCCATGTTTCGATGCTTGCGTCGGTCTTCCGCTACGCTCGGAACTGGCGGTTCGTTGCGCATTTCGATCGCAGCACGTCGATCTCCAACAAGAAGAAGGTGCCGGTTACCTGTGTCGTCGTGGACGCCATGCCGCGCTCCACCAACGAGATCATCAAGGCGAGCTCCTTATAATATACCGAATATCGCTGCAAGAGTCGGCCTTGAAGTGTTTCAGTTTTCGGGAAGTCGATTCGAGTTCTGTTCTTTGTTCCTTTATGGAGCGCAGGATGCCTATTAGAGCGCTGCCTGATTCAGTTGGAGTAAGCGAAGTATGTCGGGGTAGGTTCGCATTCCACCGGGCGAGCGACTCTCAGTTTGTGGTGCGCCCAGGGCGACCCATCTGCAAGACCTCTCGACGATCTTACCTGCGTCTCCCCCACGTTTGTTTTGTTTAATCTGTGGTTCAAGAATAGCAGCAACGTTGACCAAAATACATCTCTGGTGCAACAATACCCGATACAGGTGATCCTCAAGCAACCGCCACCTTCTAGCGTGTCCGAGTCCGAAGCCATCACCGACGATGCCCTCGCTTCCGCCGCCTTGGAGATGTGCGAAGCGGGTGACGGGGGCAGCAGCAACGTCCAAACGCCGCCTGCGGTGAATGGCGTCTTAGGTGTTATCAAGAGCCCGTCGAACCACCTGGTGAGCCGACAGTTGGAGAGATCTTGGCCAATAGTTCAGAACGCTGCCCAACGAAATGCTAGGCGGACCATAGCTGAAAGGTTGGACATATTTCGTAGAGAGAAGCATAACATCATGATGACAAGCAGTTATCAAGTCAACGTGCGATCGTTCCCGAGCGGATGAGGTCCGGGGGAATAAGAAGGTGCGCCGAGATGAATCAGATGCGTGACAATGAGGAACATTCGCTCGATGCGCGTGATACGGGCTGGTTGTTGTGAGGCTCACCCATTAGTCACCAGGAGCAGTGCTATCGTTTCATTTACTATCGTGTATCAGTATTGTACGTACAGTGTGGAGCTGCAGCCATATCATGGCACTCTGGTGGCATTGTCATATTTCAATTTTCCCTCCCTTTTCACTGAATCGCGAAATGATCTGTGTCGCCTCCGCTCTTGTTTTACCCAAATCCATCGATGCTCTGTCGTTGTTTCCGTTGGTTGCCGATCAACATCAACCAACGTGTGCTCGGACTTAGGCGTGGGTGGGGAAGATCGCCCCCCAGGGCGAGATCTCCGTCCCTCTCGAGTACACCGTGGAGTGGCCCACAGGAAAGCAGATCGAGTTCTCTGAATGAAATATCGCAGGACGAACATGCAGTCAGAGCGAAAACAGACGAAGCAACTAACTTGCGTCCCGAACACATGGTAAACTTACATTCTTCCCTGTGCGATTCGTGATTCCTGTGTGATTCTTATTTAATGTAGTTGTCCCACTTGCAGCGGTAACGATATCGTGCTACGGTTGTGCGGTACTGCTGCCGAAGCGACGTAAGTCTTGTTCTGTCGTCTCAAGGTGTGCAGAATCATTCGAGCTGTATACTTTACCAGCTCTGCTGAGTTTGCGCGCTGTTGCCGGGTGTGTACACTATGGTTTGTAGACAGTAGTCAGTGCCATGTGTTTTGGTTGAGCGTGGAATAGCAAGTCTCTCAGTGCGTGCAGTTTTGAGGGAGAGGGCGTGCCGTGAGGGGCTATCCCACGTAGTCATTTGGTGAGCACATCGCAGCATCCGCCCTCCTCGTCGCCGTTCACCCTCCCTCTTGAGGGTGGAAGCCTTCTCAAGGTTGGTTGTGGAAGGGTGTTGAGCTAGAAGCATAGTGTTGATGGTGTTATCGTGTCGAAATTTGAGTAGAACCACTCGCGTGCGCAACTGGGGAGGCATGAGTGCCCCGCTTTGTTGCGCTCGCCGTGATAGGCTTTGTACCCGGTGTATGTAGCCGTGTCATTGTGAGGCAATTCCATAGAAAACCTGTAGCTGGTACGCATTAGACCAGTCAAGCCCGCATGGCTCCAAATCATGCAGAGTACGTGAGATTCCCTTTGATCTTCACGGTCCGCGTTGGAATCCTGATGTCATCACTGAGAGTTAGGTAACGTTTTAAAGCGAATATCATGATGTATTTTGGGGTTTTCCAACGGACTTTGGATCTTGTTCGTGTGGAAACGTGTGGAGTCGTGGTGCCCTATACCAAGGGTCGCCTGCTGGCGGTTAAGCCTTTGTGCAGTTCCGGGACCGAAGGTTTGTAGAGGCAGTGACCGAAGTCGATGTTGTTCTAAATGCCGCTTCTGAGAGTTGTACTTCTTTTCGTCTTGTCCACTTCACAGCATACTTGCAGTGTTGAGATGTTGAGGTATGGTTGGGATTGAGCCTGGTGGGGCTCCCAACACCTCGTGACCTCGCTGCAATTACAGTATTCTGATCTCCAATCATTTCATTCACGAGCTCCTCGCCAAAACTCGTCGCTACATGTTTCAGTACCAAACGTCATCACACCGTTCAATGTAGTGTAATCGTATAACTATGATACGGTAATCATGTCATACCGAATAAATCTGGTGGTGTTCGCATCACTGTCAACTATCGGAGGCGTAACACGCGCTGTCCTTTGAGCCAGCTTCCGATCCTTCGAGTTGATACTTTGGACAATTTGTTGAAGGGGCGACTTCATTCCCTTTTTGACATGAAATACTCGTTCCACCAAATTCACAGTTCACGGTGATACTATCCCTTTGACGGCATTGGTGACGTCTTCTGGGCTCCTGGAGTAGTTAAAAGATGCCTTACGGCAGCTCCGTCGCCCCTGAGTGGTCTTGCAAAGTCGTCAACGAAGTCATCAAACATCTCCGCGGTGTTGCATCGAACTGGGATTATTTGTTCGTCTTTGACACTCCCGCATCTCAAGTTGGTTCATTTCGCTCCCTTTTCCTGTGTTTACAAAACAAGGGCATGTGCAACACATGTTTCGGCCGTGACATGCGATAGCAGCGCTGGCGGAAACTAAACCATCAAAGCGCCAAGCAAGCTGCAAGTGGGGGGAAGCGATGTCGCACACGGGAAGGTGGCACCACAAACTGTGAACAAACCTATGTCGGATTCAAAGCGAGCATAAAGCGAAACATCTCTGTAACCTACCCAAAATATTGACCCCGGTGACGGAGAATTTCGAAACGCGAATACGAGAGGTTTTCTCAAACGAATCGAGGGGGTGAGCGGAAAACACGAAGGTACACTAGCCCGTCTCAAACAAAAAATTGACAGGGCGAGCTAGAAGCATGAAGAAACACAAAAACAACACGACAATAAACAAATGAACATTCCGGTTAGACAGGGGCGGTTGGGGGAACAGGACGAGCTATCGCCAGGCAGGGGCGACAATGTCCGTACCACGTGATTCATTTACGTTGCGTAAGATACCAAGCATGAAGCCACTGCGTAGTAGTACGGCGCAGCTGAAGGCATCAAGATAAACATAGACTACAGCTCCTTGACTGAGGCCATGACAACAAATAAGATGTTCGCCCCCCTCTCCCCAATCCGATTTAGCCGTTCCCCCACCACTACACCGAAATAGACTGCGAACCACCTTTGCCGAGGAGTACCTCGAGCGCTGCCTAGCCGACATGGCGTCTAGAGCTGGCGCCTTTGCGATAGCCGAAAAGCTCGAGACAGACCTGACCCGCTTCTAGGAGACGTTGGCAAAGAAAATCGACGAGGAGACGGCGGGGCTGACCACACTTGTCGAGGACGAGGACGGTGGCGGTGGGGCCGAGGAGAGTAAGTTGGAGGAAGGCCGCGGCGACGCAAGCGGGGAAGCATTGCAGGTGGTTGAGGTTGACTGGCGGCGTCATTTGGGGTCCGGTAGGTCGGTTTCATGGGGGAGGGGCGTTTCCATGTGAGCAGTTGAGAGTGTGCGGCACTTGNAGGGGAAGGAAAAACGCGATTCCGTTCTTGGACGTGTTGGTTGTGGGTCGGTTTACTTTCGACTGGACCACTACACGTTTCGTTTTGTTTCTTTCGGGCTGTTTGCCCTGAGTAATAATTTCTTGGTATCTAGCGGATGCGCGTCGCATGGGACACCAACCCTGCGTCAAAGACTCCGTTCGATGTTCGTGTCGGCGGGTTGTGCAGTGTATAGCTGTAAAATATATTTTGTACGGAGACACCCTTCCTTTGAGTTTCTTTCCTCAGACGTTGTACAGGTATCAGGTCGGGGACGGCGGCGGGCAGAAAGGGAGGGGGTCTTCCTGCCAAAGCGCATATCTGACATATTTTGCCCGCAAATAGATGTGATAGTTGTTCGGTTTCAAGGTGCTTGCGCCAGGAAACACCTTTTGGCAGACGTTTTTGAGTAGAATGTGACCGACGCATGTGTGCCAGTCTCGTGTGCTGTCTACCTGCCGGTTCCCTACTCCTTGTCAACATGCCGCCCATGTCAACCTTTTGGTGCGCTTGACAAGGCAGTTTGTGTCGTCGTCGACATGTTCAGTGATGTTTCCGTATTCCGTTGAGATNACGCCATGGTTTTAAAGGGGGGGGGGAGGGGCGGACGTGGGGGGGGAACGGGAAGGGGAAGGGGAAGGAAAAACGCGATTCCGTTCTTGGACGTGTTGGTTGTGGGTCGGTTTACTTTCGACTGGACCACTACACGTTTCGTTTTGTTTCTTTCGGGCTGTTTGCCCTGAGTAATAATTTCTTGGTATCTAGCGGATGCGCGTCGCATGGGACACCAACCCTGCGTCAAAGACTCCGTTCGATGTTCGTGTCGGCGGGTTGTGCAGTGTATAGCTGTAAAATATATTTTGTACGGAGACACCCTTCCTTTGAGTTTCTTTCCTCAGACGTTGTACAGGTATCAGGTCGGGGACGGCGGCGGGCAGAAAGGGAGGGGGTCTTCCTGCCAAAGCGCATATCTGACATATTTTGCCCGCAAATAGATGTGATAGTTGTTCGGTTTCAAGGTGCTTGCGCCAGGAAACACCTTTTGGCAGACGTTTTTGAGTAGAATGTGACCGACGCATGTGTGCCAGTCTCGTGTGCTGTCTACCTGCCGGTTCCCTACTCCTTGTCAACATGCCGCCCATGTCAACCTTTTGGTGAGCTTGACAAGGCAGTTTGTGTCGTCGTCGACATGTTCAGTGATGTTTCCGTATTCCGTTGAGATGTGGAGTTGCCTACTCGCACAGGTGCTTTGTTCGTCCGTTTTCCTGGTCTTCTTGTTCGCTTCGCGGTGGCGAAGACCCCCGACCTCAGCTGGAGCCCTCGTGCTTTTGCCAGCGTGTTCGAAAGTGAACTCTGTTGCCTTGTCTTGTCGAACGGAGGGGGGGGTCAATGACACTGCTGCGACACGATATTGCACGGCGGTGAAAACAGCTTTCATCGTGTGCGTAAATCTGGATGCTGCACTTTATCGTTATTGCTTGCCTCGTGGTGGGAAAGGCCGCAGTAGGAAAATGGCCCCCGCCATGTTTTGTGCAACTTTCATTTTGTTAACCTTCTTGTTTGCCTAGTGGTTGCCGTGAAGCTCCAGTGCAGTTATCCGAAAGAACAGTGCTTTTCGAACAGAAAACATGGAGCAAAAGGATTACCTTCCTGCCCCCTCCCCCTGGCCCGCTGCCACCGCCACCGTCATCACCGCATAAGGTGTTTTTCCCTTTGCACCCTCCTGGCCAAGATCGAATCCTGACCGACTCGGGCCTCACCTACAAAACTGTCCTGCGGAGTGGGGTCATGAGAGCACATCGCCATCATTGCGTGATGCAAGACGAAAAACAAGCCGTGGTCGTAGAAAACCAACCACGGTGCCGCGACATGTTTGAGGGAGACGATTAACCTTTGGGGTACAGCTCAACAGCAACCGCCTGCTAAGAACAGCTGGCTGCCATTTGCCTTTGCCGTCGCTGGGCGGTGCGGGTCGATGGACTGCTCAACTGCGCACGCGCAGCAAAGGATGGCAACGGGGGGTATGACAAACGTTGTGACCGCGGTGCTTGACTACTATTGTCAGGGGCAATACGCGTCGACCGTGGTGGATTTGCTGTAGAGAACCTTTTGTTTCTAGCCGTTTACGGGGCTGGAATTGCCTATTGTACGATGGTCAATACTCCGGACATTCCACGAGCACCAACGAGGTTCCCGTTGAAACATCATCGTGGGGGAATGAATTCTTGGCATGCCATGTATACCATTCGCATCAGACGTCTCAAGTAGTCGATCACTCTCGGGATCCATACCCTACGGCAAGCTTAACGGACAGGGCAACACACAAGAACGCCTCATCAAGTGCCCTCAGCCGGCCAGGTTTCCATCAATCAAAACACTTGTACATGAGAACCAAGCGTAAAATAGGCCCTTCTCACGCCATCGAGGAGCGATCCTCCCGGTCGCCCAGCGCCTCACATCGCTGACGTGTCCCTCGAAGCCCATCGCCTCCCCTTTCTCCGTGCCCCAAAAGCCTTTGGTTGTCGCCCTTGCCCGGTGCCCGAGAAATCGTCCGCGACATCATACTCCGTACCGATCTTCGGCCGGAAAGAAGAGCGGAACCGGAGGGCGGTGGGCTTGCTTGTGTCACCGCCACCGCAACCGCCGCCACCACCACCTCCACCTTCATCCTCGGCATAGCTGAAGAGCTTTAACTTTCTTTCCCGAGACTTCTTCTTAGACCAGCGTCCACGGTCCAGGCCCGCCGCCCGAATGCTATCGGCGACATGGATGTCGCTCCGCGCGCTGTTTCCTCCTAGGCCGTCGCCACTGCCACCGCTCGGGCCACCGGTGGAATTTCGAGCGGGGTTCTTGCGCCTGGTGCTGCCCCAGTCCGTGTCGACCAAATGCCCACCCCCACTCCCTCTGCGACCAGGATCAGGGTGCCCCTGGGTATGCCGTCGTTGTGGCTGCTGCTCTTCTGCCCTTGCCCCGCGTCCCCCTCCGACCAGGTATGGGCGCCACTTTCAATAGACGTGCTTCTAGGATTTCTGGCCGTGCCGCTACTCGAACAAATAACCTTCCGCTGTGCCAGCCGCCGCCGCCGCCGCCGCCGACTCCATGCTGACGGTTCCTCCCAGCTTTACCCGTGTCGGCGGCGGCGTCGCTCGCGGACCGCGGAACATCGTCACCGATATTGTTCTCGCGACTAAGGTCTTCGCCACCGCGCCGGCCCCCAGGTCCCTGCTGACGCCGCTGGTAAACAAACCAAGGCTATGGGGTCTCTTGCTCCATCGGGTGTGGGTTGGGTCTTCCTCCGAAACGCGCGACAGCTCGCGGACGGACCGGAGGTAGGGCAGGTTGGCCGGGAAGGCGGCGTGCTCTGCGGTGTAGTCGTGCTTGGTGTCCCCTGTGTCGCTGTCGACCTCTCGCTCGCCCCGAGACGAGGCCCACGGTGGCCCCCTTCGACATGGGCCGGGCAATGGCGCGGCGGAAGGTGTTACCGGGGATGTTGCAACGGGTGACGTCACCGCTTATCAGAGCTGTGACCTCCAACAGCCCGTTCACTTTAGCCTGTTGTTCGGTGGTGGGGTAGCGACTTCGCTAGTTTTGTGCAGATTTACTCACGAGAGAAAACTGAAACAATGCTATAGGCAGGCACGCGCAAGTTGTGTGATCGATTCCGCTGGTGGTTTCCGAGGGACTCGCACAAGTCCCGCGACAGTTGTGCAATGGGGTAGACAACCCACGCCAAAAAATCCTTGGGTCGGTCGACTGCTGCTCCGCGAAAACCGAGAAAACTCCAGCAGAAGAGAGGGGCTTGTGCGGGAAGCGGCGTGGGGCTTTTCCAGCGCCAATCAGTGCCACGAGACTAAGGTGAGCTCGTGTACTTGGGGTCAATTCTGGTGATGAATTCTCGTGGACATCACCATGTAGATAGCCGTCAGAGTTGCGCGGCGCCTGTCCACGCTGACCTGCACAGCTGTGGGTTCGTCCGTGCAATAGCGGTCGGCCTCGACGTTGTTCTGCCACAGGAGCACCAGCCTTGTGTGCACCCCCGCCACGCTGATGTGACTTCGGCGGGTGTATTCGTGCGCAGGTTAGGGTAAGCAAGAAATGCAAGAGGAACCAGCACGACAATACGAAGGTCTCCCGGGTCGTGAGGAAGAACAAAATTTCAGGCCGCTTTTTCACACCAGCAGTAACATGATGTGCGCGAACTATCACGTAGCACTATCATAACTTTCGTATCCACGACTTGGTACTTGAGACCTCCTCCTGGAGTTGCAGTAGGACTGCCGTTAAGGAAACAGCGCTACGTTATACATTCGTGCAAAGAACCAGCTCTGCAATTCATCAGATCGTGTCCCCCCTAGACTGGAGGTCATGCCGATACTTTGTTACGCTCTTGTGCTCCAACGTTTTTTAACCAATCGGAGAACGTCGTCTCACTGGAAATAACCCTGCTGCAACCGCAAACCTCGCTCGTGTTTGGAAGAGACCCATCCCGAATGATCAACAGCAGCGAAGGGGGTACATAAAATAATTCGCAGACCGAAGTCAATACGCCTGTGACGAGAGCCACAGAAAAGGGCGGGGGCGGAGGGAACGGATTTCAGCACCGACACGTCATGGTCTGCAAGTGCGACGCGAGGACAACCTAAGCTTCCATTGCGGGCGGTCCTGCGCCGCTGTTGCATCGACACTACCGGCAACCGCCAAATTTGCGGTACTATTTCATGGTAGGCGGCAGCGCAAAACTCCTCTCGGCGCACTATTGGCGGGGGGTCGGTTCCTGTCAGGCAATCAAACCGGTAGACTCGAAGGACCAGGGACGTGCACGCGCCGAGGTCGGTTTTCTCCAAACTTACACACTCTCTTTGGTTAGGACCGGTTCCAGCCGCGATCATCACCGCGTTCCGGTGGGCAGGCGAAGGGGTGAGCCAGTGCCTCAGGAAGGCCCCCTGCAGCTGCACCGCGGAGTTATCCAAGTTCTGGTGACCGATCCCACGTACCTAACCAAAAAACCAACAATAACACGGAAACTCGGTGTTACCACTGAAATATCGATCATTCCTCCCAAAACAGTCGATCACATGTATGTGTCGGTAGATCCATCGGTGGACCCGTCTGACGGTCGAGATAATTTGTTGTTGGCCGACACGAACATGTGATGGTGTTTGTGTGCCGAGCAATGGCCCGAAGCACAAATATCGCGACGGTGGGCACAACCTACAATACCGGGAAACAAGCAAGGGGCGCCAGGCGGAGGGGCAAGGTACTATTCCGGTACAGTAGGGCATCAGCAACGAACAGGGCAAGAAGTGTTGCAAAGATGGCGGGCGTTGGAGCTGTTCTGACACAACCCCTACGGCGTTTTCGTCACGGACCAAGCAAGTCCCACGTGCGAGCCGACTCTCTTGACGAAGCCAACAACAACTTGACAATCCCCGTTGAGCGAAAAGAGGGGATCGCCATTGGACGTTTGGGAGGTTGTACCCTTTGCGTGATCTCCTCAGATATAAGATCCTTCTCTATCCAAATCTTCGTACCCCCCCAGAAAATATTGTAGTGTGTCCTGTTGTCGTCGACCACCCCACAAGCCGTACCCTGATAAGCTGAGCCAGGAGGCCGTTCATCAACCCGTCTGGATAAAGCCTGATCCGCATCTCCACGCACAGGACGCCCTCGCTCGACTCGAGCGCGGGCACCACCCGCCGCTTTCCCTTCTCGTCGAGAACCCGTACCGCGAACGCGCTGTACGCTCGCTGTACCACGGTCTGTGCGGGTTGTTGTGTGTACGGGTTGCTCCGCCACAAGAATTTCGGCCGTGTTTCGTCTAGGACAAGACAGGATAGGGGTGGGGGGGCGGTGGATAAGAAAGGGGCATAATGCTTTCAAACTACACTCAACGCCGAGCGCAGAGAAATGAGATACGCGCGTAACCTCCCGAAAGGTCTCAGTTTGGCCCAATCAGAACTTCCATTCCTCCCTCTTGAGCCAACCCCATGTTGAAGTGGCAGACCCCCTCCGTTGAACAAACCTGTTTCAACACAAACAGACAGACCGTCGGTAACGACGCAAATATTAATGAAGCAGGCGTTTGGGCGGTGGCAGGGTGTATGAATGTACGTTTCGGGTTGAGTTCCCCCCCAAAGATGTTGTTGCCGTCCAAGGAACGTTTGCTTTCGTTCAACTACTACCATATTTACAACACTGGCGGCAACGACTGCCTGACCCTCCCTGCGTTGCCATCCTGTACTTGTTCGATATCCTNCAGAGCCCACCGCCCGACGCGATACCGCCCTGAAACAGTTTGAGCAGAAATAGCCAATCTGGGCAAATCTAGCAACTTGTCTAGCTCCTCGCTGCAGCATCCGATGACGATGACACGCATATGCTCGCGAAGCTGCTGATGAGACCTTCAATTTGCACCGCTTCTTGGAATAGCCCGTCCCCTACTTGCCAAGAAATGGCAAGAGGCGTCTGGACCCGAAATTTCAATTTTTTTGGCTCTCGCTCTCAATCAGGAGTACTTCGCTCTCAATCAGGCGAATATGTTGTTACAAGTGGTGGAATTTTGTCGAGGAAAACTGTTACAACGTAGTCAGGCACAGTTTACCATAGGTGCGACTGCGGCAACTAGC